AAAAAATATCCACCATGATAAGATACATACAGAATAATGACAGAAATGGGCCAATTCACTAATGAAACATACTAGACAGAACCATTGATTTTCATTTGACACCCAGTTTCTTGAATGAGGGTGAATCCAACACAATCAAGTAAGGAGCAGCTGTGTAATGTCTGTCTGCTCCTAGGACAACGTGGCCACTGTGTGGATGTTTTCAAAAAGATGGCTGCAGAATGGGCTGGAGACCCCAGCAAAAGCTATCACTGGCCTGGAATTAATCATTGAACCAATGGTAAATATCTTCAGTCACCTGTTAGGTGGGTGGCAGGGTTATGGCCCATCCCATGACTCCTTTCTTTCAGGGAGCTCTCCATTTCTGGCAGCTCCTTTTCCGACACATGCATAGTGTTTCCTTCTCTATTTCTGTGGCCTTGAGCTATTTGGAGACAATGTCTTTAGCCACATTACACTGGAAAAGAAGTTATTCAAAAGGAAATCAGACCCAAATCAACCACATAAACAGTGTCTTTTGTAATCTACTAAAGAGAGAGATAATGATGACATCTCTGCAGAAATATGTATTGAGTACCTTGCCATGAGCCAGTTTTAATACACGGTGCCCTTGCAAATTTTACCTCATTTCATCTTTACATAATTATGTATTGAACACTTTTGTTTTGCAGATCAGGAAAAGAAATCTTAAAGCCAAGTGATTTGCTCCAAGTTATACAACTGAAAGGCAAAGAGCTGACTCTAAAACACATTTCATTGAAGAGTGAGATTCTCACTAAAAACTTCAGAGGGTTCTGGTGTCTGATTTGTGCTCCCAAATCACAGCTGAGAGCAAGTCTATGGAACATGTCAAGACATGGCAAGAGCCTGAATACCTGGGGGACCACAATTGTTCTTGTCAGTCTCCCAATTTGTCTTAGGAGACACACACACACACACACACACACACACACACACACACACACACACGCTTTGGTGTCTCCAAGTGAAGAAATGAAAAAAGTATGGCTTGCTCTCTTGAACCCTTTAAGAATGCCATCAAGACTTACTATATGAAAACTGTTGGGAAATAAGAGAGCCATGCAACCAGGTGGTCTAAAATCCAAATGTCATTTTGAAGTTAATATTTTTAATTTAGTCAGTTACTACCTTAACGAGCCACAGACCTAACCCTGGTTAGCTCATGGAGGAAAAGCCGAGGGCAGGGCCTGTAGTAGCCTTACCAGCAGTAGTCCAGCAGGTGTGGAGGCAGGACAGGGATGTACACGTGCTGCCAGTACATAGGGTAGAGCATCGCGGCAGACCCGTGGATGCAGGCAGTCAGCTGCAACAGGAACAAATTGGAGTCAGCCCTACAAAGTCTAAGTGAGCAAATGTCATCATTTGAGCTCAGTGATAAAATGAAGTACAGGCTTTTCAACACACTGAAATGCTAAGTTAAAAATCTGCACAAAAAGTTCTCAGTTAAGGCAAGCACTATGATTTAAAATTTTTAAGTACTTTCTTTCTTTAAAAATTCTATTATTTCTTATTATAAAACAAAGGTGCTGTTACGGGGGGGACGGGGGGGGGGGACACACAGAAAATGGACCAAGGATAAAAGAATTCCCATCTAAAGATTATTTAATATTTTAAGGTACTGGGCACATATATAACTCGTGCTTCCTTTTCTAATGAGAATGACTGTAAATACAATTTTTTCCAAGGATCTTGCTTTAGCTTGCTATTATATGATGGCATTTCCCGCACACATTGCAGTGCGAGGTAACTTCAAAAAGTTCAGGGAACCCTTCTATTATTTCACAATTCCATTTTTTCCCATGAACCTTTTATTCAACTAGTCTTCTGCCACTATAATCAGATCAGGCCCATATTTTTCTATGAGGTTCCTGGATGTAGACTTAAGAGACAAAAGTTGTAAATATTTTAGGCCACTTGGTAAACACAGATCCATACATAGATGAAGAGGGAGGGCTCTCGACACTCCTGCCACCATGAACTGGGGAGCTGGCCTCCTGCCCCTCACATGATAGTCAAGGTAGTGGTTTTATCATCGTCTATGCCTTGTTTTTACTTTTCGGTCTCTGACCATGACCAAGACTGAATGTTTTGTCATAGTTCCTTGACCGTAATTTCTTAGGTAAGTGGTCTGTTTGTATTCTTAGTTAGCTTGCTCTAATGTGCATGAGTAATTTTTTTTAATTGAGTTACCAGCAAGTACTGATGACTATATAAAATATACTAATTCTTGGGAAGATTTAAAAAAATCATTTATCCTAGTTTAATTTTCCTTGAACTTTTGGCTGAAGAGGAGTTTTAAATAACTATACAGATAAATCTTTTCCTTCTTGGCTGCTTCCTAAGGGTGCCGCTCTCCATTTCCTCCTCAGCATTTAACTCTAATCCATCTGGAATTAATTTAGGGTTAAGAACTGAGGTGAGAATTTATTTTTCCACACAGTTAATCAATTGCCTGGGCACTGTTTACTGACTGATCCTTCCTTTCCTCGTTCTTTTGACATGCTCTGTTTTCTATTCCTTTTTTCTGCTTGTTTGTTTTTAAAGAGAGAGAAAAATCCACAAGTGGTATATGATACAATAAAAAATTTGGGAAGCAAAGATAATACAATAGATAAAACTACTTCAAAATTCAACCCAGGGAGAGGAGGAAGACAACCCACACCTTTGGAGACATGGCTATGAAGTGACAAAAGCCAACAACACATGTTTCTTTCTGTCTTTTTTCTTTAATGTTCCTTTGATTTCTGGGAAGTCTGCTCCCTAGAGGCCTTTTGCTTCTTTGGGAAGCTGGTAACTGGCCTTTGCTGACAGAAAGACATTCACGTGGTGAAAGAGTGACGGGCCAAGGCCCAGTTAAAAGAAACCCGGAGGTTAGTGTAACACGAACAGCTTTCAATGGGATATTCTGCGGAGGTTTCATGGTTGTGAGAGCTGCTTGTTAAAGCCAGAGCTGCTCCTCTCCACCCCACCCCCTCCTCTCTTTTCACTCAGACCTGTCCTTTCAACCAGGTACAAGCCACGAACAGGAGATGATCCTGCAAGCTCACTCAGAGCTGCTCCCTGTGACTCTGCTGGTTCAGTCCATCCATTCCTGGTCCATTTCGGTGAGTTTCTGTACAAAGCAGGCTGTCCTACATAGATAACCGATCCCTCAAGGTCAGAACAGATGAAAAAGCTCTACTGGTGGTATGTTAGCAGAGAAAGAAGCCACTTTCTTCTAATTCTACCCTAATCTCAGGTTGGAGGCTGACGAAAGACTTGGGTTCCACCCCTTTTGGCCTTCCTTCAAGTAGCCACAGAGTGCTCTTACTAAAGTGCAGGTCCCTCCCGTTATTCCAAGGCTTCAGTGGTTTGTTGGGAATAGGCTTGTCTCCATGGCCCAGGCCCTGTCTACCTAGGGACAAGCTTCCATGGCCACAGTCTCCATTTATAATAAATGTCCCTACTGCTCTCCTTATCATGAATGATCTGCAGACCCAAGAAGAGTTTTGCATGCCTTTTAACTCTTTCTGTGCACCCCTCCCTGAATCTGCTGGGCTTTTGACCCTGGCAAACCTCTCCTCTTCCAGATCTCTGTATAAGCACCACCTCTGTGAAGTAGGTCCATTTTGTTACCAGAATGTAACTGTCTGTATGTCTGCCTCTCACCGTAGAGAAAGAGTTTGTCTCTTTCCATCTCCAGGTCTTCAGCGATGATAGCACATGCACATTGCTGTCAGCTTCTAGCAGGTTGGCCTCACTCATGCCAAACCATCCACGACAGCTGTGATGACTGACTTTCAAAAGCAGACTCCTAGCCTGTTCTTTCTTGTCCATCTTCGTTTGGAAGCGCCACTGAAAACGGTTCAGTATGATTGTAATAGGTATGCTTCCTCTGACACATAGGTAGCAGCTGTGCTTGAGGTATATTAACCAGATATCAAAACCATGCCTCCTGTATTCTACCTCTGAATCACCACTGCCCTCATGGCATGCATGCATATATATGGCATTATATGTGTGTGTGTGTGTGTGTGTGTGTGTGTAAATGGACCAATAGACAACATCATAATAAATGGAGAAAAGATTGAAATTGTCAAGAATTTCATTTTGGATCCACAATCAGCACCCATAAAAGCAATAGCCAAGAAATATTGCAATGGGCAAGTTGCACTGGGCAGATCTGCTGCACATAACCTCTTGACCATGTTGAGGATTAAGGTGTGCCTGCCCAAGACTCAGTATTTTCAATCATCTCAGATGGCAAAAGCTGCCCATGGATAAAGAAGAAATGTTGAATGCGGAATATGGTGTTGGTAAAGAATATCGATTCTACTATGGACTGTCCAAAGAATGAACAAGTCTGTAGTGGAAGAAGTACAACCAGAAGGCTCCTTAGGAACAAGGATAGTAAGACGTTGGCTCATGTCTTTTGACATGCTATCAGAAGAGACTAATCCTGAGAGAAGGCATCATGTTGGGTAAAATAAAGGGTCAGAGTTAAAGAGGAAGCCCCTCAAGGGGCTAGACTGACACAGTAGCTGCAACAATGGGCTCAAGCACAACCAATCACTGTGAAGATGGCACAAAACTGGACAGAATTCTCTGTTGTGCATAGGATTACCATGTGTTGGAATAGACTCCATGGCATGTTCAAATGATTTCTGAACAATTTCTTACACATCAAATATAAACACTTTAAAATCTACACCATATCACACACATGTAAAATAACACCTTCATCGAGCATGTGTTTGAAAAAAATCATCCAATAATGCTCTTTTTGATTCTCCTTAACCTTACAAAAGCCTACCAAGCTAAATGCCAAGACTTAAAAATTATTTATCCCACATAAAAAGCAAGCTTTTAATGTGTTCTATCAGTACATTAGGGAGTTTTCTAGGGCCAAACCTCTTTAATTGGGGTAAAATGCATTCACGCATCTGATTAAGAAAACAAACAAACAAAGAAAAGAAATTGTTTGGCTCTTTTCCAAAATACTAAATAGCACTAACTATGTGCATCGCTACTTAAGAATGAATAATGGCTAAATCAATTACAAGAAGTCTTAGGATTTAACTATGTGTAACATGGAAAGACATATACTATGTTCCATAAATTATCACTAGAGTCACTTATTATTTTAAAAAACAATTCAAAGACCCCCATTTCTAAAAACTGAAAGATAGAAAAGGTCGATACCTGGTCCTTACAAAATACAAAATTGAAAAGTACTGAAAATATACAATTTGGAGTATAGTCCACAAAAAGGGCATTGTGAATATTTAATTGAAGTGCAAGTTGAGGAAAATGAGCCTATCAAAATTTTACTCCGTGGGAGAATAGGAAGATAAGATGTGTAAAATTTGCCCAAAGTCATTAGTCACAATGAATATTCATCAGAAGCCAATTATCAATCCCATTTAATGACACCCCAAAAGATTTTGCCCTGAAGCAGCTGAATAGTCTAAGGTTCCAGACAAAAACTAGACAGATTCTACAGCCAACAGCCAGTCTAGCCAGGACACAGGTTATAAAGTAAACCATTGGTGGGGTTTGGGATCCACGTTAGCAAATTCTGTCCTCAATTAAAGGGCCACAAGGTTAACACTATTTTAGAACTCTCCTCGCTTTCTCAAGAGACAAAGTTAGTAGGACATGAATGCAGAGATCAAGGATAGAGTTGGGGGAAAAAATGGTCACAAAGACACCTTTTATTTCTTTTTAAAATTTTAAGGTCTTTCTCAGAGATAACATCCAGAGTTTCAGACTAAGAGTCCAGTCCTTCAGCTGATTCTTAAGGGCAGCACTCGGATTTGACATGGAAGAAAAATAAGAATCCCACGTATGTGTGCCAGGCACCGGCCGTGTGGGGCTTTAGGACCTTGCAAAGTATTATTTTGTAGAGAAAGGGCGGTGGAGAAGTGCACATGTTTATCTATGTATACACTCATCAACACATTTCACAGGTGAGGACACGGTCTCAGAGGTAAAAGAAATTGCCCAAGGTCACACAGCTAGTTCGTGACAGAATGGGACTCACATGCAGGCCTGTCAAACTATAATGGCTGTTGTATTTCTATGCATACAAAGGAACTTTTTTTTTTACCGAGTACTCATTCTGTGCGTGGAGTTTGCTGTGAAGGAGATGCCATCCCTGCGAGCAACACCAAACGATGCACAAGCACCAAAACACCTAGTTTGCCAAAACAGTAGATGACCAAGTATCTGGGGCAACGTACCCATAAAATAATCATTTTTGGGGAAAAAAAGCAGATGTGGGCATTTGCTCAGGATTAGTTACATTTAATTAAGATGCCTTTA